ACGACGACACACAACCACACACACATACACACACACACACACACACACACACACACAACCACACACACACACACACACACACACACACACACACACACACACACACACACACACAACGACACACACGTACACACACGCAGACCTATGAAGGTGACCGACACCCAGACACAGGGGCCCGCCATGGAAAGGGCCGTGCCGTCCTGCCAAATGGCGATTCGTACGAGGGTGACTACGTCGATGGTCAGCGACACGGCCAGGTGCGTGTATCACACCATACGTCTCTAGTGTTCCAGCACACAGCTTGTCGTTCTCGCTCGAGAATCTCGACCATGTTCTTGTGGTGCCTCAACACAGTCTGGCCCTTGAGCTCGGGGACGGGTTTTCGTCCACAACACCCTCACACATGGATGTCTGCGTGTGGGCGTGCTTGTGTTCCAACTGTTGATGACGTGTTGTAGGGCGTGTACCAGTTCAAGAACGGTGCCCGGTATGAAGGGGCCTATGTGCAGAACAAGAAGGACGGCGAGGGCACATTCTACTTCCCAGATGGCTCCAAATACGAAGGTGAGAGAATGCTGACACCAAAACATCGCCATACCCATCGGGGATGCACTGCAACTGTGTCCCTTTGATCCACTTCACTGATTTGTCTTACTTCCCCCCCCCGGTGTTTCCAGGGCAATTCAAGGCCGACCTTCGCCATGGCTTTGGCACCTACACATACCCAAACGGCGACACATATGAGGGCGAATGGGAAGAGGGCTTGCGCCATGGCCAGGGCACGTACACATATGCAGAGTCGGGGGCCAAGGTAACGCATGAATGCATCTTTCTTGCATGAGTGACCGGTTTCGTGCTCTCTGCTTGAATTGCGCTTGGGAGTCCCCGCCATACCTGCTAACGCATGTGTGTGTGTGTGTGTGTGTGTGTGTGTGTGTGTGTGTGTGTGTGTGTGTGTGTGTGTGGGTGTGTGGGTGTGCAAACGTGTTTGAGTGACCCCTTTTGCACATGTGTTGCCTAACCACGTGTTTTGTAACGGCGCATGCACTGTTTTCATTCCACGTGCGGCTGGTTGGCTGTGCAGTACATTGGCACATGGTCGAGGGGCAACCGTGTTGGTGACGGCAAGCTCGTCTACGCCGACATGGAGTTCCAGGGAACCTTCGTCGATGACCAGGTATGAGACACTGGATCTCTGTCTCGTGTGGTCTTCGGCGCAGGTTCAAGTGGGGGGTGTATCTGTGTATGTGTGTGTGTGTTGTGTGTGCGTGTGTGTGTTGTGTGTGCGTATGTGTGTTGTGTGTGTGTGTGTGTGTGTGTGTGTGTGTGTGTGTGTGTGTGTGTGTGTGTGCGTGCGTGTGTGTGTTTCTGTTTCTGTGTTTCTGTGTATGCACACAGTGAACACGGGTACCATCTCGGTGTTCATGTCCCTCTCACCGGTGCTTCCGCCCTGAAACCACGGCCAACTTCTTTGCGTCCCCTACATACGGCCATCAGCCGCTTGGTCCCGGCAAGTTTGTGTTCAACCGCGGGTATGAGCAGGCCGGCGAGTATGTCGTTGCCGACACATCAGAGGAGCCTGAGGAGGTATGTTCACCACACACGCGTGGGGTTGTGTGTGTGTGTGTGTGTGTGTCCGTGATGATGGTGATTTGTTTCCAAACTTGCTGTCCACCCTGCAACGCCCTTCCCACTCCTCCTCACCACCAAATCCGTTGTGGTGCATCATCAACAGGACGGCCAGAGAAACATGAGATGGGTGGGGCAGTCGTTGTCTGCACTGGAGTAATCGCCCTGTGTGTGTGTGTGTGTTTGTTGCCGGCACTTGCTGTTCATCATCTTGCATCGTTCATAAAACGAAGTTCTTGTCGATTGTCACGTTATTGTCGAAGGGGATGGTACACGCACGATAACAAAGAAGAGCAAGAGTCATCCAACGCGCTACAAACACACACACACATACACACACACACACACACGATTGCACTAGGCTAACGTAAATCAGAGAGTGTAAGGAAAAGCTGGTTCAGATTAACATGCAATAAGAGTGATACCAATCAAGCGTGCTCCACTACCGTCCACTGTCGATTCTTGGCCATAGCCTCTGCCTCTCCTCACCACTTCCAAACAAATTTGCATCAACCCGTCCACCTTCCTCGCCCCGCCTCATCTAAACATTTTCGGCATCGCCTACAAACCAACACATACACGCGCAAGCACGTACGCACACACACACACACATATGTTACGCGTGCGCTACCTTAGTCTCTCCCTAGCTCTCCCCTCTCCCCTTAACCACCTCCCCTTCCCTTCCCGTGCCACCTTCACTGGAAGGACCAGCGGTGTATGCGCGCACGGGCCTGCATGTCGGTGAACTTTGCGCCCGTGTGTGTGATGGAGTCCTCCACCTCCGGGATCACGAGTGGCGGCAAGAGCGCGCGGACAGAGACGCCGGCCTCTGCCAGCTGCGTCCACATCTGGCTGGCAGGCCTGTCGGCATAGCTGGGGTTGACCAGCCATGAGTACACGAGCCGCAGCGTGGCTGTGTCTGCGAGCCAGGCAAAGGTGCCCTCAGTTGCCGCTGCCACATTGTAGCAGAGTTTGTTGTCGCCGCCGTGCCGCTTCATCTCGTCGTCAATCTGCTTCCATCCGCTGGTGTGCGTGGACAGCTTGGGATATGTGCCGTTGCGCCACACCGTGCCGCCCAGCAGCAGCGCACCGCCGGGCGCCACGCGCAGGTACCCACCGCACCGCGGCGACCGCAGCCGCCGGCTCAGGCCCTCGGCAAAGTTTGGCGAGAGCTGCGCATCATCTTCCAGGAACAGGTGCAGCCCATCGCCGTTGCCACGTAGGATATCGGCTAGCAGGCTCTTGTACGACTCACGCACCCCAATCTCCGCAGCGGAGAGCGGCGAGGTGAGCTTGGCCGCGTCGGCGAGGGTGTCTGGGCCGTCCACGCCGGCAAACATGCGCGCCTCAAAGCCAAATACGTCGAGCCAGCGGGTGAGGTTGGTGGCGCGCATGACGGATGTGGGGCGGGACGGGAGGTAGATGACGTGGGTGCTGATGCTGTCGAGGGTGCGCGGCTTGGCGCGCGGCATGAGCACGGGGCACTCGCGCAGCGACAGCCCGCACAGCTCGTACTGGCGTGCCGGATTGTGCACGCAGAGCGGGGAGACGAGCTTGGCCACCTCCTCGGGCACGGGCGGCGGAATGGTGAACAGCGGGAGGCGGAGGCGGCGCGCGCGCTTGTCAAACTCGAGCATGTCCTCGGGCGTCTTGAGCGGATGCACGGATACGGCGCGCACGAAGCTGCTGAAGAAGCCGCCGTCGCCCCTGGGCAGGGGCAGCACCATCTGGCCATCCTCCGTCACGGCCTTGCGCACAATGGTGCCGTTGGTTGCGATCTCCCAGTACCGGTTCATAAACACCCACTTGAACTGCACGGGGACGTTGTCCATGCAGGTGATGTTGGTTTGCCGCTGCACGACGAGGGAGAAGGCGCGGTCCGAGTTGGGCGGCATGGAAGGGCCGTTGGGGTTGCCCATGGTCTTCGGGAGCGCGTCCAGCATGGCGCGCGTGACCACGTAAGCGGGGCCGAGGCAAAAGGGCGGGACCTTGCCGTTATCGGCGCCACGTCCAAAGCCCCGCGCGCCCGCGAAGAGCTGCTTGTTCTTGGGCATGCTGCGCAGCAGGATCAGCAAGTTATCCAGGTTGAGGTGCGTGTCGGCGTCAATCTTCATGAAATGCGTGTAGGAATCGCGCCACGTCGTCCGAATCCACTCCCACATGCACAGAACCTTGGCCACGGGCGGGTACGAGTCCTCGCACCACGGCACGTATGTGATGAGGGAGCGCTCCAGGTCGTGGTCACCCGTGCAGGACGACAAGCGGCCGCCGTCTGCGCTGTTCCCCACAACAAGGCGCGCCGTCACGTACGACCGCGCGGGCTGGCCCTCGCGATACCAGCTCTTCGCGATGGCGGGCGCCATGCGCTTGGCGGTCTCACAGTCGGCGTTGATGGCGATGAACACGCGGGTGCCATGTTCCGCAGCGTGCTCCAACGCGGCCACATGGTCCTCCAAGGGCGCGAAGCCAGCAGCTCCAGCCACCAGCAGCGTGGCGACGCACAGCAAGGCTGTCAGGGGCGACAGGCGACACATGGCGGGAGCGGCGTGTGCTGTGTCGTGGTGGTTGTGGTGGTGATTGTTGGCGGTAAAGTGGTGGCAGTTTGTACAATGGTGGGGCTGCTGTTCAATGGCGGTGTACATACAACAATGGTGTGTACAATGGTGTCGTTGTGACAAGCAGCGTGAACACGTTGTCGTTGTTGTTGGCGCGCGAAGTGAACCTCGCCTGCGAGCAAGCGAGGGAGAGGCATGCAAGCCGTTTCGTGGGAACTGTTTTCTTTTGATTGTGCCACCCAACGCGCTGACACCACCATGAATGTTTGAATGCCTGAATGCTGCTCGAGCCACAAAACAAAGTAAAGTGGGTTGCACGTCGCGAGTACTGCGGAAAATTACACGAAGACACCCACCAGTGCTCTCATCGGGTTCGTACAGAGACTGAAATAAGTCGACAACCAACGCTGGGCCGCGAAAATCACATGAAGGCATACAGCATTTTTCTCAGTAACGGCTCGCCCAGCTGTTGCACAAAACAGACAATGATGGATGAGCCGTGTGCGTCCGTGTCCGTGTTGTTTGTCATCAGTGCCAAGAAGCAGCGGCACATTGACCTGCAGCGCGTCATCAAGACTGCACGCAAGTGAGTGTGTGATGTGTGTGAGGTGTGTGATGGGTGTGATGTGTGTGATGGGTGTGATGTGTGTATGCATATGGAAATCGAGCACTCGTGTTGCATTGGTTTCTGCTTCTCACTCGCCCATGACATGACATGACATGATGCCTAGGTATGGCATGATATGCGATGTCGCTGAAGTAGATGCTTTGGAGGCGGTTCGAGAGGTGCGTATGCTCTTGGCGACCATGTGGCTGGTGCTGCGTGAGGGAGGTTTGTGCGATACGGCTGCATCGCAACCATGTGCACTTGCCTCCGCAGGTTCGCTGGGGGTGGGGTAGTACAAGCGTGTCTTCTCGTTCTTCTCATCGTGGTCGGTTGCGTTGTTTTTTTTTTTTTTTTCCATGGTGCCCTGCATTGCTGTGTGGAGCGCAGAATACCTACGATGTGATTGTACACAAGGTGACTGAGTTTGCAGCGCTTAGCCGACAAGGGGACAAGAAAGCAGCTCGCATTATCGATGCCTTCAAGGTGAACCAGCGGTCGTGCTTCTGTGCCAAGGCATGCATACGTGGATGTGTGTACACGCGTGTGCTTAAGCACTTGCACGTCTGTGTGAAACACCACACCTTTGCTGTGCGCCTATCTAAACAGAAATGAAAGCATCGTCGCTCCCTCACGCATGCACGCATGCACACTCGCTCACGCACGCGCGCGTACACATGTGCACACTCGCTCACACGCACGCACGCACACACATATGCACACTCGCTCACATACATGCGTTCAGGCGTTTATTGCTTCACAACCAAGCTCGTGCGTCGTCGTGGATCCCTTGGCCAGGAGTGAGGTGTTGTTGGACCGAGAACTCACCTTCACCAAGCTGCGACAATGTACGACAACACACGGAACCTGGCGCATCACCACTCCAACCTCCGCCGTCATTCGCTCTCAGGACGACCTGGTGCGTGCGAGTGTGTGCATGTGTGGTGCGTGTGTTCGTGCGTGCAGGACACCTTGAACTTCATGTTGTGCACTGCATCAATGCTATTCAGCGTCTTAAGCGACTGCACAAACCCCCCCCCCTTGATGTGCAATGCCGTTCAGGCCAACCTGGAAGCCCGGCTGAGCGAGGCCGGCGTAGAGGTGCCTGTGATCTGCAAGTCTGTCACCGCACACGGCAGCAAAGCAGCGCACGAAATGTGTTTGCTGTTGTCCACACAAGCGAGCCCCTCCATTGCACCGCCTTTTATCGCGCAAACCTTCGTCCCACACAACGCGGTGCTTATCAAGGTTTGGAAATTGCTCTTGTGCTTGCATATTGCGCGTGCGGGGATGTGCGGGAATGTACACACGTATGAGAACGTTTGTGACTGTGGATGAAGGTGCCACCCTTCCGGTCAATTGAGCGTTCTCCTCATCATCTCACCCACCACCACCAACTACCCACACCTTCCGTTTGTATATGTGATGTGCAGGTGTTTGTGGTTGGTGACTCGTTCACGGTCTGCCACCGCCCTTCCATCCGCAACTTGCAGCACAACAGCGCCACCCATGCGCCTCTCTGCATCCCCTTTGACAGCCACGATGTCTCAAAGCCACACTCCGAATCACACCTCAACGTGGTGTGTGTGTGTGTGTGTGTGTGTGTGTGTGTGTGTGTGTGTGTGTGTGTGTGTGCGTGTGTGTGTGTGTGCGTTGTGGATCTGCGTCCGCGTGCGCGTGCACATCTCTCTCTCTCTCTCTTTCACTCTGTGTGCATGCAATGCACATCTTTCTGTGCCGCATCCCTTAGTGACAAACCGTCCCCTCCTCGTCTTGCCACCAACACCACCCCCAAGACACGGACAAGTACCAACAATGACTCCATTTCCTCCCCTCACCCTTCATCGCCTTGGCAGGCCGGTGCGCACTTGCTCCGGGAGCGTGTAGTCGACGATGACACCGTATCTGCAATGGTGGCGGCTGTGCGCGAGGAGTTTGGCCTCTCTCTCTTTGGCATTGACGGTCAGCGTGCGCGTGTGTGTTCTTGAATATGTTTACGTGTGCGCGCGTGTGTTCTTGACTATGTTTTGTGTATGTTTACGTGTGCGCGTTTTTGTGTGCATGTGTGTGCTTGCTTCTGCTTGTCTGCCTCACGACACGCTCAGCACGATCACCGCACGCAATGCATTCACCGCAACGCCACAACCACCTGCCCCACGCCTCCTCAATCGCCCCCCCCCCCACGTGTTCTACAACGTGGTGTTCACCCAACGAAACAGCTGTTGTTGAGGCCGGCACCCACAACCTCCATGTTGTTGACGTCAACTACTTTCCGGGATATGCAGGTGTTGCTGACTTTGATGTGCGCCTGTGTCGGCTCCTACAGGCTGTGACATCGTCGTAGGCTGGCGTGTGGCATCGAATCAGCAGCTTACAGCCAATCATGTCCGCAGCAGACGAACATGCAACTTGGCCGTAATATGGTGTGTTGTAGTGGATGGATCTAATGGCAGCAAGCTGCGCTAATGGTGTACGTAATTGAAATCAACCCTCAAAATACACACGAAACGCAACCTGACATGGAATGTGTAGGGACAGGTCGTTGTATGCACACACACAAACACAGACACACACAGACATACACAGACACAGACACACGCACGCACGCACAAACACACACATGCGCACACACACGCACAGACACAGACACAGACATACAGACACACAGACACACACACATGCGCACGTACGCGAAATCAGGGAACAAACAACATTGTCGAAAGGACAGACATTAGGAAGCCAACAAGCAAGCCACCAAGCAAGTGAGCCAGCAAACAAGCAACGAAACAGCCATGTGAGCGAACAAGCCATGCTGGGGTAGAAACATGCGGGACGATGGCGAAGGCGAATACCTTGCACAAGTCCATGCATATTGCATATTGCATCATGCAGAGGAGTCCTCCTGATACCACTTGGTCCTCCTTCGCGACAGGCGCATGCGCGTTGCGTGGCTGCTGCTGAGGTACTGCGGTTTGCTCTCTGGTGTTTCGCTCGTGGGCACAGACAGCTGCTGCTGTTTCTTCTCTGCTTTCTTCGGCGTTGTGCTGCCGCTGTCGCCATCACCGCCCGTTACAGATTGCGTGTTGTTCGCCTCCTATGTGTGTTTTGTGTGTGTGTGTGTTTTGTGTGTGTGTGTGTGTGTGTGTGTGCAAGCCAGATGAGGCATACCGATCAATCATACAAGACACAAACATGCAGACACCTGGCGACATACGCATGTCTACAAGCGCGTGGTGTACGTGTGTGTGTGTGTGGTTTTGTGTGTGCACGCACCAGGAGTTGTGGATCCCTCTGCAAGCACTTTTCGACGATTGAATTGCAGAGCGACTGAATGTCGTCCTCTTCCGGGTTGAGGACAAATCCTGACACACATACGCACACATTTACACACGCACAGAGTGGAAGACGTGAGTGAATGAGCGAATGTGTGTGTGTGTTTTGTGTGTGTGAGTGTGAGTGAATGTGTGTGCGCGTGCGTGTGTGAATGTGTGTGTGAGTGAATAATGAATTGAACATTCGCTTCTGCCACTGCACCTTCGTCTCGGAGTGAGAAGATGTAATCCAGAACCTGCCGGGTCGTCATCTGGTGATTGGCGCAACGGACGAAAACATCGCATCAATGTGGGGGAAGGAATGGGCACACAGACACACACACAGATAAACAGTCACACAAACACACACGCACACAGGCACAGACACAGACACAGACAGAGACACAGACACAGACAGACAGACAGACACACACACACACAGAGACACACACAGGCACAGACACACAGACACAGACACAGACACACCTGCCAGTCCTCGGCGACGGGGTCGTCTGGGAAATCCGAAGCGTCAAAGAGATCATAACTGTCATAGACGGTGAAGACCTTGTTTGGTTTTGACGGGTGGTTGATTTGGATGTTTCGTCCGACAAACACCGGCACGAGTTGAATCTGATTCTTCTTGTGCAGGTCGACAGCAGCCTGTGCATATGGGGTGTGCATGCGTGTTTGTGTTTGCATGTGTATGCAGTGTGTGCATGAAATTGTGTGCGTGGCGTGAGAAAAAGCGTCTGGAACAAGCACAAAGTTGTCGCGATGTGTGTCCAACACCATGACAACAACCACCCCCCCCTTCTCCTCTACAGGGACGTAGTAGTCGTCATCGCCACCACCATCATCACCATCACCACAGTCATCATCATCGCACCGCAAGTTGCATGACGAGCGTGCCGTCAAAGTCGTCCGTTTGCGTGAGTGTCAGAGCGTTCTCAGAGATGAGCACGAGAAACACCTGTGCAAAGTGCAAAGGAGAAACAGAGAAGCGAAGGAGAAGAAAGGTGGAGATGGTACGCAAACAGTGAAGGTAGAATGGAATGGATAACGTGTACATGTACTCATGTATGTGTATGAGAGAGAGAGTGAGTGCGTGAGTGTGAGTGTGTGTTCATGTGCATGTGTACATGATGTGTATATGGGCACCTTTGCGCTGAGGATGGCACTGCGAATTCCCCCAAGCCACGGGTCCTCGCCAGGGACTAGCGAGCAGACAACGCGAGGGTGGTAGGGAGGGGCATTTAGTGGATGAAGCGGAAAGGGGAGAGGGATTCGCAAGCTCGCAGACAAGCATGTCTCACACACACACACACCTAGACCCGCACACATAGACAGACGCACAGACAGAGACACAGAGAGACAAACACACACATACACGCAGAGATACAGGCAGACAGGCAGATACACATGGGCCGGCACGCACCTTGGCTGAGGTCGTATTGGTCAAGGAAGCAGATGAGGTTTGATCCTGCAGACTCTGTGGACTGCATTGCATCGTACACGTCGCGCGCCAGCGCACCCTCCGTCTCAACCTGTCACGATGGCAGTGATGTGATGATGATAGTGATTGATAGGAATGAGGGTGATGGTGATGATGATGATGATGATGATGATGATGATGATGATGATGATGATGATGATGATGATGATGATGAGGGTGATGATGATGATGATGATGATGATGATGATGATGATGATGATGATGACGATGATGATGATGATGATGATGATGATGATGATGATGATGATGACGATGATGATGATGATGATGACGATGATGATGATGATGATGATGATGATGATGATGACGATGACGATGATTATGATGATGGTGATTGACAAGAATGAGGGTGATGGTGATGACAATGGTGGGGATGAAGATCAATGGTGATGGGATGGTGACAACGATGAGGTTTGGGCAATGTCAGTGCAATGAAAGCTTGCGGGTCATATACATCGTCATCATCACAGCAACACAGGTGCACGTGTCTGTACCTGATATGAGATGAAGACGTGATGGTCGCGGCGCGTTCCCGTATCATCCTCCTGCAAATCACCGAGACACAGCTCCAATTACATCATCCATTCATCAAACACAGGAGCACACCGTCAGCGCATGCGCAAACACAACCAAAGAGTACTTGATATTGATGCGTGAAAGTGTGTGTGAGTGTGTGCATTCCATTGAAGGTGTACATCCATCGTTTTGCAAAGTGTTAAGTGTGGCACTTGTCACTGGCCACCACCTCGTCTGCGTCGTTGATTTCGCCCTCAATCTGATCGTCGTGGTCAATTGCCCGGCGCAGAATCAGCCGCCTGATGGCGATGGTGGTGACGGTGATAAGACGACAGATGGTGGTCATCATGAGAATTGTGAAAGACCGCACGTGGGAGGGACGCCGCAATGCATGCAGCATCACAAACACATGCACACACACATATACACACACGCACGCACGCACGCACGCACACACACACACACACACATACACACACGCACACACACACGCACACACATACACACACGCACGCGAAACGCATGGACTGACTTTGATCCATATGTGATGGGCTCGCCTGTCCTGACGTAATGCTGCACGAGGTCGGAGATGGAGGAAAACTCCTGATCGCCGCACGCAATGACACCGCGCCGATCCTTTGTCAACTTCACGTGCAACGGAATCTGGGAAGAGATGGAAAGGGTGAGACGGGAGGGGAAGAGGGAGGGGGTGCATATGAGATGGAGGCAGGCAAGTAGCGCCGAGTAACAAAAGCACATCCACACAGACACGCACAGACAAACGTACACACAGGCAAAGACACATGGGCTGACGTACGCGCCACATGACGGACAGGATGTATTCTCCGGGAATCCTGGTCTCGTGAACCATAAAGTCACCCTCGTTTCGCAGCAGAGGCTCGGTGACTGCAACGTTGTGTGTGTGTGTGTGTGTGTGTGTGTGTGTGTGTGTGTGTGTGTGTGTGTGTGTGTGTGTGTGTGTGTGTGTGTGCCGAAGCGGGGATAGTTGCGGGCCAACAGAGAGCACGTTGCATGTGTGTTGTGGTGAGCAAGCAAAACCGCGAGCGCCACACAGAACAACAGTGCCAACAACTTTCTTGCAACAGCAGCAGCACCACCACCACCATCATCATCATCGTCATCATCATCAACACCACCACCATCATCGCAAGCGTGGCCATGCAGTAGCCACCTGCACGTGTGCGCGCACCTTCCTTGATGATCTTTGTTGATCTGCGGCCGTGATACCAGACGGCAGCCTGTAACGCCTCGTCTCCGCCGCCCTGGTGATGGTGGTGATGGTGGTGATCATGGTATCAGGGGACTTTGTGGATACGGGGACCATGGGAACAGATAGGCCACACACAGACACATAGACACAGACACACAGACACAGGTAGACGTATAAACACTCGCTCACTCGCTCACCCAATCACACACCCACTCGCTCGCTCACTCATACAAACACACCCACTCGCTCGCTCACTCATACAAACACACCCACTCGCTCGCTCACTCATACAAACACACCCGCTCGCTCGCTCACTCATACAAACACACCGTGCCCTCATGCGCACTGGCGTCGTCCTGTGCCGTTGAGTCGTCGGCGTTCGCTTCGTTCTGCTCCCTGATCTGCTGCATGAAGAACGTGAACGGCCCGAGCCCCGTCGCAGTGCGCGGTGTGCGGGCTCGCTGGTGTTGCGATGGTGTCGGTGAGTTTTGGGAATGCGTTGGTGAGCCTTGAATGGAGTGGGCAAAGGAGCCTGGGAACACGCACACGCACACAGGGACAGGCAGATAGACAGACAGAGACACCGCAAACATTCGCAAACACACACGCACAGGTACACATACACACACCACGAAGACACAGACACACACATACAAGCACATCACAAAGACACACAAAGACACACACACACACACAAACACAGACGCACACACACACCACAAAGACACAGACAAGGCACAGACATCAGTGCGCAGCATCAAAGACGTACGCTCTGGGCGAGGTCGCCAGACGTCTGTCTGCTGAGCACAGGCCGATCTTCACTCGTTTGTCTGTCACCACAAGCGGGCGCATGTGGTGTGAGGGCGGAGGGTGAAGGAATATCACGTGCATTCACGGTGTTGCAAAATCAAAACCGGGGAATGCAAACACAACAATAAGAGATACACACACACACAGACACACAAACACGTGTTTGGACCTGCGGAGGGTTTGCAGCCGGCGCTTCTCGGCGAGTTTGTCTGCCATTTTCGTCTTCAGTTGAACCAGATCCTGTTGCGAACAGCGGTGAGGGGGTCGGGGATGGTTTTTTTGGGGGGGGGGGAGGCGGAGCAGTCAGGGACGCCGGACAGGTAGATGCAAGGAGACGCGCGCACATGTTCACACACACACACACTCAGACACAGACAGACGCACGCATGCACGCACACACACACACACACACACACACACACACACACGACACACACACACACACACACACACACACACACACACACACACACACACACACACACACACACACACAGTCTCGCTTTCTCTCGCACGTGCACCAACCAGGACAATGTCTGTGCAGGATGGGCGCTCGTTCGGATCTTCGCTCCACGTCTTCATCATGATGCGGTGGAATTCCTCCGGACATTCTGCCGGACACGGGAGCCGGTAGCCATCAGCGACCTGATGCAATGCATGGACAAGACAAATGCCATGCAGTAGATTATGACACGGAAGAAGGAGTGACGATGATGCAATCAGGCACACACAGACAAGCACAAACACAGACACAGACACAGAGATATATAGTCATATAGACACACACACACACACACATACACAGAGACGATGCATGCAAGCACCTCCTGCTTGACTTGTGCGTTCTTCCATCGCACGTACGGGACGGCACCAGCGGTCATGATCTCAAAGAACACAACACCATATGACCTGACAGCAAACAGCGCACATGAACAAGGATCCAGCTGTTAGCATCACGCAATGGTGTGAACACAAGAGAGGAAACGAAGGTGTGCCAAGGGGGAGGGGCACAACCGCACGCACGCAGTGGACAGGAAAGAAGGGAAGCAAAACGAAGAAGGAAAGTAAGGTTGGATGACACCTCCAAGCCCGCACTAACACACACACACACACATACACACACGTACATACACCTACACACACCGCCTCCCCCTTCTTCTCCCTTCTTCTCCTCCTGCCACGGCCAATCCCGCGGGCGCGCGTGCTCACCAGATGTCTGTCTTCTTGGAGAGGATGCGTGTCTGCCAGACCTCTGGCGCGGACCAGCGGACGGGGATTGGGAACGTGCGATCGGACACGTCGCAGTCGGGCGAATCCGCGGCGCGCGCAAGGCCAAAGTCGGCAATCTTGAGCTGGCGGTGGTGGTTGGTGGAGGCGAAGGGATGTCAGGTGTGGCGTTGAGCCGAGTGAGTGAGTGAGTGAGTGAGTGAGTGAGTGAGTGAGTGAGTGAGTGAGTGAGTGAGTGAGTGAGTGAGTGAGTGAGTGAGTGTGTGAGTGTGTGAGTGTGTGTGTACGTGAGTGAGTGAGTCATTATGTGAGTGAGTGAGTGAGTGAGTGAGTGAGTCAGTGAGTCAGTGAGTGAGTGAGTGAGTGAGTGGGTGAGTGAGTGAGTGGGTGAGTGAGTGAGCATGAGTAACACGGTAGTGCGCATGCATACACACACACATCGACACGGGCCGCTACATCACGTCAACACGTCGCGTCTGACCTGTCCCGCCTTTGAGACGAGGATGTTTCTGGCGGCGAGGTCGCAGTGGAGAATGTTCTGGTGGTGGATGTACTCGAGACCAGCAGCCACCTCCATCGCTTTCGTCAGCGATTCCCTGACAGGTGAAAGAAAGACGGTGAATGGGCAGACGCATCGACAGATACACATGTGCAGAAAGGCATACGGACAGGCACACACAGACAGACAGACAGACAGACAGACAGACAGACACACACACACACACACACACGCACACACACACACACACACACACACACACAAGAGCCCACTACAGAGCGCTACCCACCCGAGAGAGCCCTCTTCGCCGCGCAGCACGTCTTGCAAGTTTGTGTCCATGAGCGGCATGACAATGACGTTGGGTTTCTTGCGCATCACAACGCCAATCAGACCGAGCACATTGGGATGCTTGAAGGTCCTGCGGCAGCAGCGGTGGGAGTGCGTGGTTGTGTTGGAATGTGTGCGTGTGAACAAGAAACATGCGTGTGTGTGTTTGCGCGTGCAGCTTTTCACACACTACACCACACTGCATCACACTTCACCACACACACACACATACACGTGTGACTACACAACTGCTCACTTCATGATGTCTGCCTCCTGGAAGAAGGTTTCACGCAAGTCCGGGCGCACGTTCGCTTTGAGCGTCTTGATGGCCACTTGCTGCCCTTTGTGGGTGCCAATGTACACATCGCCAAAGCTGCAGCACACAAGGTTGCGATGTGAGGGTGTGTGCGTGTGCATGTGCTAACGCTCCACGCACATAGACGTCAAGCAATCACGCAGAGAGGCAGACAGACAGACCCACCCCCCTCGCACACACACACACACACACACACACACACACACACACACCTTCCAGCGCCAATGCGGTGGTCGAGCTGAATGTCCTGAACAAAGAGCTCCCAGGCCTCAAGCACAAACAGCTTCTTGCGCGTGCTGATGAGGGCCTCCTCCAGCCACTCTAGTCGCTGCTGGTCATCGTGGGACAGGTCTCCGTCGAGAATGTACGCGTCCCCCTGGCGCTGCAGTCCAATGAAGTCCAACAGACGCTGTGCCGCCTCTGTTTCCAGCGCTCGCTTCACAGTCTGGCGGTCGTGGCGTGCGTGCGTGTGTGCTTGTGTTAGGTGCGTATTTGTGTGTGTGTGTGCACATAAAACCACCCACGTACATGCATGTAAGCAGCCATGCTCACACACACATACACACACACACACACACATACACACACAGGAGCATGCGTAACCCAAGATCTTCGGTCTTTGCTGTACTCACGGTTGAGGACGTCTGCATGCGCCGGTACAGCTGCTTCTCAGGGTGCTGGACGATGTTGTGCACCACTGTGAGCAAGAATTTGCTGCACAGCAGAAACGCGGGCTTCTCGACCTTGGACAACAGCGCCAGCGCCTGCAAGAAGTCGATGCGAATCGTGGCGTGTGAGGTAGTTATGCGTCCGTGCACACGCATGCCGGACACGTTGTAGCACCAGCTCGCAGTCCCAGCGGGCGGTCGCCTTCTCAGACAGACACACAGGCCAGAGAAGAGAGACAGAGAGAGACAGAGAGAGACAGAGAGAGACAGAGAGAGACAGAGAGAGACAGAGAGAAACAGAGACAGACAGAGAGAAACAGAGACAGACACAGAGAGACAGAGCGACAGAGAGAGAGAAAAAAAAACACATGCACACACATACACACTTGCACACATACGCACGCACAAACACACATACACAAACACAACCGCAGACAAACACAGACACACGCACCCATTTCTGCAAGTACTCTGGTCCAGCGATGACGGCAGAGTCAAGTGAACGCTGGTGCGTGAAATCACGGTGAATGGAGCGACCGGTACTGCTGCGTTGGGCAGGCTGGCGCTCCAGCGTTTTGCGGCTGCGGCGGAACATGCCTGCTCCTCTTCTTCCTTTGCTCCCGCTTCACACACTGCTGTCCTCGTGTGTATCTGTCTGTCGGTGTGTCCCCAACACCGCGAACACCGACACCTGCGAGTGAGTGATGTGATGAAAGTTGAAGAGAAGGAGTTAGCTGTTGTTGTTGTGGTTGTTGTTGCTCGATTGCTGATGTTTATCGCATATCTTCGCCAACTTTTCTACAAACACGACGACTTTTGAGCGAGGACGACACCACCTCCTCCCCTCCGGCCACTGACTGGCAGTGGTTGTCGTCTGTGCGTGACAGGTCGAAGGACTGCCGTGATCAGCGATGGGCAGTGTGAGGCGCATACGCGCCACAGAGTCGTTTGTTCTCACAGCGGCAGGGATCAGCCCCAAGGACAAAGGTGTGTGTGTGCTTGTGTGCTTGTGTGCTTGTGTGTCAAGGGTGCTGCTCACCGGTGTTGCACGTTGATGAAGAGTCTGCCAACCCTAGCCCTGACCCCACCTCACGCACACGCACCACGCTACATACGCTTAGGGCGAGTGAGGGCGCTCTCGCTGCCCGGGTCTCATGTGGAGAAGATTGAGACACTTGGGCTGTCGCTTGCCCACATGCACCGCATCCGTGACCTGGACCTTTCCTGCAACGCGCTGGAATCAACCGAAGTGTGTGTGTGTGTGTGTGTGTGTGTGTGTGTGTGTGTGTGTGTGTGTGTGTGTTGGAATGTGTGTGATTGTGCGATTGTGTTGGCTGTGATTGTGCATGTGTTTTCGTGTGCAAAAATGTATGTCTTACCTCTCTGTGTGCCAGCTGGCATTTCAAACTTTGATTGTTCGTTCATGCATGCGCCGTCGTGGTGGCATGGCATGACTGCATGCGCAGTGAGCGAGCTGAAGTGGCAGTGTGTCTCACTTGCTGTTTGCATGCCTTGCTGCAATTCTACCGCCCGCCTTGTGTAGGGGCTCGAACACTTGGCGGAACTGATGACCCTCAACTTGTACTTCAACAACGTCTCCTCGCGCCAAGAGCTGCTGCGCCTCAAACACAACCGCAAGCTGCGTGAACTTGACCTTCGCTTGAATCCCGTCTGCTCAGGTTTGTCACACAAGACAGCAGCGAGCACATGCCCCATCTTGTGTGCGTCCAATCATAGTCACACAGCAAGAGAGCGAGACACACACAGACACACACAGACACACACACACACACAGACAGACACACATACATACACAATGGACAAACAACTTGCAAGCTATGCTATGCTGCCAGTGCTGTTTATCGTTGTTTGCTTTCATGCCTCACCCCCCCCCCCCCAACATGCTGCAGACCGCAACTACAGGCTGTTCACCGTGTTCCACCTGCCCTGGCTTCAAACGCTGGACGACGTGGAAGTGACTGACCGAGAACAAAGTGTGTTTCTGTGGTGGTTTGAAGTGTTATGTGCTGCTTTTAGCTTTGTGCTGTCGTGGTCTGGCCCAACGGAGCATGGTGCAGCGGCAATACTGCTCAACCAGCAGCTCATAGCTTGTGGTTCCTCGCAATTGCCGTTACACCCACACATGCACATATTCACACACACACACACACACACACACACACACACACACACACACACACACACACACACACACACACACACACACACACACTGCACATTCTGCAAGGTGCTGCGAAACAGATCTTCGGCGACACCACAGTACAGCTTAGCAGCATGCTCAAGAGCGACTTTGTACGTTCCACTCATCCTCAGACATGTACTTGTTCAACCCTCTTCACTCTGCCACCCACCGTCACCATTCATACTCCTATCACCCATCGTCCCGGCTCACACGCTCCACGCCACCCTGTATCCACGCCACCTCATGCATGTCCCCATGCTCCAGCGAACCGCTGCCTCGAGTATGCGGTCAAGCGGGCGGCGGCGCGGCGCTGAAGTGGCTGATGATGATGATGGCGATGATGACAATGATGATGGCATTGGCAGTGACGGTGTGACGCGTCGTGGCGGTCGTGGTGATGGTCGTGGTGGTGGTCGTGGTGATGGTGATGCAGTGCGGCGCATGCTGAACGCAAGTCGCGCTCGTTTACGCGGTGATGTACGCGCCGGTCCCAGTGGCAATGGTGGTGGCGGTGGTGGTGATTATGATGGCGGTGATGGCGATGTGAACAGCAGTCACGGCAGCGGCAGCCAGCCGCTCCACATTGACGCCCTCGCCGTGGACTCGTAAGCGCAACTCGGCAGGCGGCGTGGTGATGGGTGTTCTTGATGGTGTTCTTGATACTGTTGTGGTGGATACTGTTGTGGCGATGTGTGGTGTGGTTTGCATAACAGAGAGGGTTTGGTCTGGAGTGAGGCTTGTACTGGTAGCCGGGCATGCGAATGTTTCACACCGAGCACCAACCCGTCTCCCTCTAACGTCACCACATCACCTCATCACCACATCCCCACCATGCATCATCATCAGTGTCAGCAGCACGGCCAGCGCACACGCGAGCAGGCGTCGGCGACCGTCACCGCTCGGTCGCAGTCGTGCATCATCAACAGCAGCAGCGGTAGCAGGTGGGGCGGGCGGTAGGCGTGGGGATAGAAAGGGTGATCGTGCAGTGGGCGCCGTGGGTGCGGTGGGTGCGGTGGGTGCGGTGGGTGCTGGGGTGCCAGTGGACAGCGCCGTTGGCGGAGAAATGGGGCCGACCAGTCGCCGGCATGGACGCGATCACGTTGACGGCACTGCAGCCCTCACTCCAGCCGCATCCACTCGATCAACAGCACCACGCCACGACAACACCGACGGCGATGGTGGCGGTGGTGGAAATGGTGCTGAGGATGGTGATGATGGTGGTGGTGGTGGGTATGATGGTGGGTATGGTGATGGTGGCGATGATGAGATGTCGATTGCGGCGTCCATACAGCTGCAGCGGTGCGTGTCTGAGATTATGGCGCTGTGCCGGCGGGCGGTGCTCAATCCCGAGACGATGGACGACGCGTTTCAGTCGCGTATCAGCAGCAGCGTCATGCAGCACGTGATTGCTCCCCACCGCCGCCGCCTCCACGACGCAGAAGCCCTGCAGGTACGTGTGCTTGGTGTGTGTGTGTGTGAATGAATGTGTAAATGTGTGTGCGTGAATGTGTGTAAATGTGTGTATGAATGTGTGTAAATGTGTGTGTATGAATGTGTAAGTGTGTGAATGTGCGTTTGCTCTACTCCCTTTCAATTCATGCCCACCACCACCACCACCATCACCCACATCTTTCACCACCACGACCACCATCTCCAATGACAGGAGAGCCTTGATCGGACGGTGCTGCATCTGCAACGGGAGGAGGAAGAGCGACGACGCGCTGTTGACGAGACAATCCGCACCAACACTGCCATTAAGAACATGGTACCGTGCCCTCATGCTCATGCACATGCAAGTGGATGCAAGGCAGACAGAGCGTGCGTTGGCGTGTGTGTATGTGTGTGTGTGTGTGTATGTGTTTGCTAGTACGTGAACGTGAGTGTGCTGTCGTGTGTTAATGTGTACGTGTATTCTTTTGTTCGCCCTTCACTCAGCCTTGCTCAAATTACGCCTTTTCTCTCCCTCTCCAATTACCGCACATGCACGGCACTCCCATACTCTGCCATTCCCACAATGGCCATGTCATATCCCACACCGGTCCGACAGATACAGGAAATGGGGCTACCTCTCGACCACACGCTCAAGGTGCCTCACCTGCGTACACACACGCACACACGCATACTTGTTGTGTGAACACCTGAATCCATGTATGTATGCCTTTGTGTGTGTTTCTACTTGCAATCACGCCTGCGTATTGCACTCACGCTCATGTTGTGTGCGTGTGTTGCATGTGCGTCACCATCGTGGGGGCTCTACCAACAGCCGCTGGACGCGATGAAGCAAGTCCTCCTCGATGCTCGCGAGGTGTGCGGCCTCCCCGCCTGCACGCTGCTTCTCTTCTGTTGGAGGGTGTTGCCTCTGCAGTCAGTACGCACCTGAGACACACTTGCATGTGAGTCTTCCTCGCTTGTCCGTCCATCTCGTACGCTTGACCACGTGCGTGCTCACATATTCATGTGCTTGCGTGTGCGTGTGCTTGTGTGTGTGTGTGTGTAATGTTGGGGGGTAGCTGCTGAAGCAGTACGAGTCCCAAGCTGCACAGCTGAAAGCCCAATTGCTGCAGGTACACGTGTTGTGCGTGTGTGTGTGTGTGTGTGTGTGTGAGAGAGAGAGTTTGTTGTGTGTATACGTGTGCGCTGATGCATGTATGTGTCTGTGCATGCCCGTGTGGTGCACTGTCTTGTGCCGAACAACACTCATATGTCTTTTTACGTCTCTGATGTCGCAACAGGCTTCGGAAAGCCCGCAGTTGGCAGCAGAGAACGCACATCTCAAAGCCCAGCTGCAGGCACGTATACCAGTTTGTCGTGTGTGATTCAGTTGTGTTTGTTTGTGTGCGCGCGCATGCGTGCGTTGGTTGCTTGTTTGTGTCTGTGTGATTCAGCTGTGTGTGAGGTGTGAGCGTGTGAGGTGTGAACGTGTGCATTCCCATTCTGTTTGCGCGTGTGTATGTGTGTGCGATACAAATCAACGCATAAGCTCATGTCTGTCTTCCTGTGTGTGTGTTCTGTGTCGGCGTAGGAGTCTCGAGCCGCGGAAGCGAGGCAGGAGGCGTGCTTGAAAGACCTGCAGGAGGCACAGGAGATGTTACGCCAAAGTCACAGGTGCACGCGTGTGTGCATGTGTTTGTATGTCACATGATCACAAGCGATCAAGGGAGCAACAGTCCCATGCGTGTGCTCGTTCGTAACCGCTACACGTGCTGACGTGTTTTGTTTCTACCCGCGCGCACCACCTCGACACAGGTCGCTCACGCTGAGCAATGATCAGTTGTTACGAGAGCTCGAGGAGACACGCAGCTCGCACCAACGGGTGGGTATCCACCAGTGTGCATGCGTGTTTCTGTTGGGAGTTTGTTTCTGTGTGTGCATGCGTATTTGAGAGAGTGTGTTTGAGAGGGTGTGTGTGCTTGCTGTTGGGTCTTGACACTTGCGAACGCACACAGCGCTTACTCACAAACACATACATGCACGCAAACACGCACACAGGAAATGGATCGAATGCAATGGAACTTTGAGGAGCTGCAGCGCACCATGGATATGATCAAGTCACAGAGCCCCCACCAGCAATCAGGGGACGCGTCATGGCAACATCGACAGCAGGAACAACAACAGGAGCGATTATGAACAAGTGCGGACGCGAGTACCGAGGATCATTGTGCATCGGGCATGTAGCACTTGTACACACAGACAGACACAAACAGACACAGACACGTGCAGACACAGACACACACACACACACAGACAGAACACACAGACAGAACACACAGACATACACACACAGACACACACAGACACACACACACACAGACACACACACACACACAGACGCAGACACACACCCAAATGGTCGCCTGAGTCAGCACTGTTCATAAATGAAAGGTTTGTGCATTTTAGGATTTTTCCTTGGCAGCGTCCATAATAAAAGAGGCATACGAATTGTGGGGAAGATCTTGTCGGATGTTCCTTTTTCCACACGCGAGCTCGAACACAAGCAGCACACGAGACCACCTTCCCTCTCTCCTCTCAAAGCTCCACCATGGCCAAGAAGGGCAAGAAGACGGGTGATAACCTCAACACCAAGCTCGCTCTCGCGATCAAGAGTGGCAAGGTATGAGGAAGGTGCGAGTGTGTGATTGTCGCTTAGAACGAGCAAAGCATCCGTGGAAAAAAGCACACACCACCCACACAACCCAACGAACACAGAACACCCCCAGCAGCAGCAACCCCAAACACACCCACGTGCACGTGGCTGCCGGCTACCGCAACTACACCTGCCATGACAGCAGCAGCGTCGGTGCCGGTGAGCGTTGCAACCCCCGTTTACTCCTACGTGTCTTCCACGCACGTGTTGCCGCAAGGCCGAGGAGTTTGTGGGCGCGCAAGTCTCATCCACCATTTCAAGACGCAGTGGCAGAGAGGCATGATGAGCAGAAATGGATGGCCATAGATAGACAAAGGCGTGTTCGAAGCACACAACAGCACCAGCACCAGCATCGCTGCAGCAATGTGACGTGTGGATGGAAAGTGTGGCAACTGTACATGTTTATGTGTGTCCTGTGTATTGTTTGTGCGTGTGCGTGTGATGCGCGAAGATGATGGATGCTGACGACGGAGATGATGGCGCAGCAAAGGCCTGAACCTGCTCGTTTCGGTGTGCGTGCAACTGTAGAGAACACCATCAGCAGCAGAAACAGCAAGCAGACCGCATCAGCTCACACAGTCAGCACCAGCAGCTCGTTCTTCGCTCTAAGCAGTGTTTGAATGAGTCGTGGCATCATTGTTTGACATTGTCGTTTGCTGACCTTGTTTTTGTTGCGCATTGTCAATGTTTGCCATGCTTCTGTGTCGGCTCTGTGCTTGCTCTTCCCTCCAATGCAGTATGTGCTTGGCTACAAGCAGACCCGCAAGATGCTTCGTCTTGGCAAGGCACAGCTCGTGATCATCGCCAGCAACGCCCCCGCTCTGAGGTTCGTGCAAAGGCCTACGCAAATCTGATATTGGATGTTTTGTGCGCGTGTTTGTCTGTTTACTGGTTGTGCTGTGGCTGTGAACAGCCTGTACTATTGTCCCGCGTCAGTGAGCTTGTTATGGTGGCCGTCGTGCTTGTGGCTGTGTGGCTGTTGATGAAGTTGTACGTGCGTTTGTGGGTAGCTGTCTATCATTACCTGTGTTTGAAGGGGATTGCCCTTGCACTCATTGTCACTCAACAAACCCAACACACTGGTTTGCTTGTTCTGTATCGTTCTCATTATTGTTTCTGTCATCTTTCTGGCCTTGTTACCTGTTGCTTCCCCCAACCTGGCGTGCGCCTTTTGTTCATGTGATTGGCGCGTGAGCAGGAAGTCTGAGCTCGAGTACTACGCTCTCCTGTCCAAGTCTCTTGTGGAGCACTTCAAGGGCGACAACATTGAGCTTGGCACGGCCGTCGGTCGCTACCATCGCGTCGGTGTCCTCACCATCACGGACCCTGGTGACTCTGACATTGTCCGCAGCCTCCAGCAGCAGCAGGCATAAGCATGTTGCCTCCGCCTGTATCGTTTGGTTGCTGTAGACATTGCTGTTCTTGTGTTGGAGTAAACGCGCCACCCTAATCCCCTGACAATCTGGCCACAGACAAACCAGCTTGACACGTGCTCCAACTTCATTTGGA